CCTGCGGGACGACGATTACACTAGCCTAGATAATTAGCAAGAAACTAGAATTGGGGATTGCAGACGGGGCAGACGATCAAATGGCATGAAGAAGAAATATTGTTGGATAGCTAGTTTGGCAGGTCAAGCGTTTGCTCCGGAATCCAGTCCGTATCGACCGACGTTCGTTTGCCGTACTACAACAACGACTTTTCATGTTTGCACCAGTTCACATCACTTGTGAAGGGATGTGGGGGTTTGTATCCAGAACACTCATATTGCACTAACCAATGAGCGACTGCTGCTGCCCAGATAAGAGACGGGTACCTGAAGTTGAAGTTGGGTGAGCTTAGCTCGAAACGAACGGTGAGGTCGGCCGTCGAGGGACAGTAGGCTTTATGTGTTGAGTGTGATTCACGAAATCGGCATTGCCTGGACTTACTTTTTTAACTGTCGTGATTAATCTACCAGTTTTCCAAATCCGGGGCGTTGGCACTTCGCGATCAGGATTCCGTATAAGTAGAATGTCACAGCGTTTAAGAAAGGGAGAAACCCAAGAACACCACCCAGCCTCAGTGTTGTTGCCACAGGTCGTGGAGCAGCTGTCGAGAAGGAATGGCATAAGAAGCCAGCACAGGGCACAGGCGTCTGCTGGAAAGAGTGGCCGGCTAAGGTCCCATTGGATACCCTCCCCAACTAAGTGCGTAAGGTAGGTTGGCTACGGGTGGACGGCACGGGATAGGGAAACGACGCGTTTGCTCTGATCGAGATCAGAACATGGCGGGCACAACAACAACACCAATCAACATCCCGACCTCTATCTGTATGTAAGTAGGTACTTCCGGGGGCTGACTGGCCGATGTGCCTCAGCCCGAGGTGGTTTTGCAAACCAAGTTTGTATCGACAGAGATGGCTTTCGAGCTGGGCTGTTATTTTTGGCCGATGATCAATTGGTCATGGAAGGATCCACCGAACTGTCCTTTTTGCGGACTCCCACTCCATAGGTGGTTGCACGTGTACTACGCAGTACGACTGGAGTCCAGACGCCGGGGAGATGGCAGTGACAGCTGGATTATTCAAATCGTCATTTGCAAGCAGCCGCCATTGAGTGGTTACTTAGTTGCTTGACTACGGAGGACCCCCCCCCTCTCAATGCCAATGCCAATGCCAATGCCAACCGCGGTTCCCATGAAGCAACTCCCTGTGTTGTGCATTAATCTATTCGCAATTTTGCCAGCGCTCGCGTGAAGCGATGGATACACAGTGGCGATGAGGAGCCACAATACTCAAGATGTATTAACCAGATGAGCAACGATGCAATTGCCGACGTCGAATCGGTGCAAAAGAGCCTTGCCGGCGTCAACATAGCATTTCTGAACCAGTGGATGGCGAGCCAACGGGAATTACAGGGGTCTTAATTGATTCTACTCTTTTGAGCAGCGGGTGCGTTGGCCTTCAGACGCTATTCCTGCAAGCTTCGGCGTACACGTACGCAAATTGCTCTGCACACTGGTTTCCCATCAAGGCCATTCGAAGTTCCAATTTCCAAAGACAGAGGGGTGGCTGAGGTAAGAAGAAATCCAGGTCTTCGAATAGAGATCAAACGAGACAATGGAAACTTACTTAGGAGGTTGGAGTTGAAGAGGTAATAACATGCCAGGTGGTTGAAGAAATATCTACATACCTACTGACGGAGGCATTTAGGCAATAGGGATTTTATTCTGAAGGGGCCTTATCCGTTCCTTCAGGTGCCTTAAGGTAGGTAGCACGGTAGTTACCTTAGGTACCTTACCTTGGGTGCCGTGGTGCCCAGGGTACGTGGGCACCTACCTACTGTACCTACGAACCTTACCTACCTTACCTACCTTATGGTATGGACGGGAAGGTAAGGTACTTATCCACTCCGGTACTGGCGCCAGCGCTTGGTTTCCACGGGAATGAGCTGCGAATGGATGGAATTCTGCGCTCTCCTCCGCTGAGGTCGGGTGTCCCCTCCCCAACATAATCCCCTGCAACCAGGCGCCATTCAGCACGCACTGGACATCACTTCAGGAGTACAATCTCTTCCGTTCCATTTCGTCTTCACTCAACACCAGACACGTACCGCCGCAACCAACACCCAGCCAGACTCCAACTACAGCCCTCGGGTACTCTCTCGAAGTGCGATTGACTTCTTCATTTGAAGCCTCACCTCACAAACACACTAGAAACACAATCCTTCTCTTTCTGTCTGACCGTCCACACATTCCCTCGGGCAGAACATTCAAAGAGAGCATTTCGTCCAACCCCACCCTTTTTCTTTCCGTTGCTACGAATACAACCTGCCTGTCAGCAATTCTGTGCCCGATATTATCTGACGAAGCACTCAACCGACATCTCTACCACCACTGTACTTCGCCTTTGTCGCCCAGTCGGTCCGTTGGCCCATCCGTGTATGCCGTCCCCTCGAATCATGTCTTCTCCACGAAAGCAGCAGCCAGATGAGGTCGCAGACAAGGTGCTGAAAAGAGCAGAAGTTAGCAAGGTAAGTAGGCAGCGCTTAGAAAAGCACAAGGGCTACTTTTGCTAACACTGAGTTCGCAACACAGATCGCTAGAAGGCTGCAAAATCGGCTTGCTCTTGCGCAATTCAAGACGAAGCATGGCTGGGAGGACCTCACACTCGACACGATCGAACCGAAATATGAAGAAGAGCTGCGCCGAAAGCGCATGTGCGAAAGCGACGTGCTGTCCGACTCTTCCTCCAGTGCTTCCGATCTGCCATATCCCACGAGGACCCTTATGAGCTCCCCTTTGAAGGCTCCTCTTTTTTCCGACGCCATCGGTTCGAGCAACGGAAGCACCGGCCATCGCAAGCGAACGTACAAGGCTTCTTTCGATTATCCCTCGTCCAGTCCCAGCAAACGCTATCGCTCCTCGCCTACGCCGCAAAAGCCCGTACACGCTCACCTGTCGTGGAAAGAAAGCCACCAGCTTGCACAGTCATCTCCTATCAAGCCTAGGCGGCAACAACATTTCACAACATCTACTGGCCCTGATGTGTCTTTCTTCCAGGGAGCTCGAAGGATGGCTGACGAACTCGTCTCACCCAACTTCGCGGCCAACTCGGACGATGAGGATGATCTCTTGCCGACACAGTCGTTCAGAACCAACTTGCGCTCATCACCGCCTACGACGCCGCCAATGCGCAATCGTCCGATCCCCAATCGTCGCATTAAAGACAGGCCTGCCGGCTCGGGCCCGGTGAAATCGGGCGAGGAGGGTGCCGACCTCCTTTTGTATCTCGCTGCTTCACCATCGCCAGCGGTTCCTTCCACAAAGACTAGAATGGAGCCCCCATCTACACCACCCTCTAAGGTTGGCCGCGACATGACACTCCCATCGTCACATATGACCACTCCTGGCGGAGGCAACCTATTCCCTAACACCCCAGGGCAAGGCTTTGACTTTGCCGAGTTCGTCAACATTACCCCCAGTCCCGCGCAAAAGGCATGGAAGACACCTGTTGCCCTGTCATCAGCAAGGACCCCCGTCAGCCTAACAAGGAGGCGGCTCACATTCGACGAGCCCCTTGCGTAATGGAGCGGTTAAGAGGCCTGTCCAATCCTCCTTACCTCTTTTTTTTTCCTTTGCTTGAAACCCCCCCCCCCCCCAACAAAAAAAAACAAACCCGAAAACGAAAAAAACTTTTTACATGATACCAGGGTGGACGAAACTTCTAAACAGCATTGCGAGATGGAGCTTGGATTGCGACGACTTGGTCGAGCAACGATAATTGCCAGCAGCAGAACGAGACAAGGCGGTACTACGCGGGTGTGCTTTGGTCATTTGAATACTTTTCACTATCGGAAGTCTGCCACCGTCTGTCTGCATGACAGACGCAAAGCCCGGCGCTCAGGGAGGTTCCCGTCACGATGATTGGCGGACATGCATAGTGGCTTTGTCGCGGCTTTTTTTTCTTGTTCTTTGAGTCCCCCGAAAATTTTCCCCTACACTCCTGCGTGGTTTGGAGCCTGCCGCGATGGGACCTACTAGCGCGTTCTGACGTTTGGCGTGCACGCGTCCCACCGCGCATTTGGCGACTGTTTCGCGTTTCGCGTCACCCATTAAGTCGACTTAGTATTCTAGCCAATCAGAACATGGAATTCACATCCGCCATTGTACCGACTCTGTAATTGTAAATGAGTGCGCTCCGATGTCCATTGCAGTAGAGATAAAGCGACGAGGCGACCACCGTGCAGGATATCAGAGCATCGAGACTTCTGATGGAAACCTGTTTGTGTTTGGGCACTTTGTCGCCCGCAATGTCAAGTGTCTCTGTCTAGGGCAATATAAGGATGCCGAATCATGGCCGTCCTTTTCAGCTTTTGCTTGGGCAATGCTTATGGTTGTCCATGAACTGGATGATGCCCTGTTTGACCCCTTCAGGGCTGGGTTCCTCAGCACAAACATCTGGCTCGAAGGCGAAAGTTTTTCTCAGGTAGTCTCGTGTAGTCGGCCCAATTGTTGCGATGAATGTTTTTCGCCTCCCTTGGCTCTTGTTGCAACCCTTGCCCGTTGCTTCATCCAACATATTGAGGCCACGCAGCATGCTATCGCAACCTGTCGGGGAGAAGACAACCACCCACCGTGACGAAGCCGCCTCTGTGGCTTGCAGGATGTGGGAAAAGTCTCGCGGGAACGATTCCATGACTCCCGTCCCGTAAACGACAACCTCATCAACTTGAATCCTTTTTTCACTGGCCAAGTTTGGAGCCATGAGTGTCTTGGGAATGATGTCCCTTCTCTGTTCACCGACGAGGAAGAGGACGGGCGGCTTGATCGGTCTGTCATGGTACCATTGGCTGTAATGATCCAGAATGTACTTGGCCAAGGCATCGCCATTGCCGGTGTGCTCTCCGAATACCTGCAGTGGCGGATCTTGTGTTATGGCCTTGAGCGCCCGCGTTGTGGCAGGACCAACGCTGTAAACCGGCACTTCATGAAGATGAGGCCAGCCCCCTTCAGTGTCTGAGAACTAGGTTAGTACAGTACTCTGAGAACTACCAATGTTGACTCGCCCTTCTTTTCATCAACCAAATTGGTGAACGCCTCGACAGCCCGCTGAGAAGTGAAGATGAGGCCGCCGTAGGCGGCACTGGTATTGGTGCCAATAGCGCGGCGATTCAGCACGTCCCTTATCAGTGTCATTCCTGCGTCTTGGAAACTGTGGTGTAAGACCGGCACGAAAGTCGATTCGAACTCATAGCCAGAATGTTGGCGCGACAACAGGTCTTCGTAAGAGTCGCCAGGCGTTGACTTGGTTTTGAGCAACAAGACGGGCACCTTAGCTGATGGGTTCAACTGGGTCATGCTGGGCGTGTGTTATCGACGTTTGATATGAAAAGATTGGAGGATGCGTGTTCCGTTGGAAGTCAGATGCCCTGGAATTCACTCGCAAGAAGACACTGCTGGAGCCGCACAAGAGTGTACATCGGCCAAATCCTCTGTGCCCCGCCACGAGTATGAAATCTGCTACCTATTGGCTGGCTCAAGTCACCTCACATAGTTTCTTAGGTAAGTTCCTCTAGCTACGTACTCTAGCCCACCGAGGCGCACCATTTGCGACTCTTTGAGGAAAATAGGATTCATGATCATCATGAGTGCAAACTAAGTTTTGGAACTAGATCATGGTTCACGCAAGGCGCGAGAGGAGGGGATGATGTGCCCAAAGTCGAGCTACAGCTTGTTCGGATTCCCAACTCCGTCAGTAGCTGTCTTAGGAATCACCCGACGATTTCCGGATGCTGAGGCGCATTAGGAGCTTGATAATGAATAAAAAATGGTAGACATGGCATCACTGTCGGCAGACCCCCATTCCCAACAAACCTCCAGAAACAGTGTGGGAATGCAGCCCATGTTTGTCCACTGTGAGTAGCCCCGGGCCGAAAAGACGGCACTCCCTGGTCGAAATCGGGAGACTTTGAGTCGCCTTCGTACGGCGATGGCACTTGAGCACCTCATCTCATCTTGATGGTGGATTGATTGAGCCACATACCTTGCGCAAGCAAGTCTCGCGAGGCATCACAGATCTCTTCCTCTGCCTTGTCCGCAAACAGCCCGAGATATCTCACGATTCCCATCGAATTTTTAGGTTCATTCCCCCTCAGATACACGCCCGCTGGCTCACGAGTTCAAGGACTGAATGAACTTGCTGCCAGGTACTTTGGGGGCCGTACCTTAGGGACCTAGCAGCCTTACGTCAGGAGGCCACCGTACCATACCTAGCACAGGTACCTTACCTCAGCGCTCTAGGCTTATCGATAAGATGCGGAAGCTCGGAAGATTCTACGACGTCTAGAAAGTGCAGTACTCAGGAAAGTGCGTCGTCGGTTTGCATTTGAAATCACCGACACAAGCTAACAGTGTGTGCCAAATCTTGCCTAAATCGCGCGGCCCGAATCAATCATCCCTGACGCTACCTTTCCGCGCCCAAGCTTCACTTCATAGTGTTTTCACGTTTGTTCCCACAAGACAAACCGAACCCCAGCAATTTGATCATGACCGACACAGAGCGAGATAGCAACCCCAGTGGACTCGCTCCCGCCCCTGTGACCACCGAGGCGCCGAAACCGCTGCCGAAGGGAGTTGTTTTGGGCAAAGATGGCAAGCCGTGAGTTCTTGTGCCAAAATTATCTTCTTCTCTTGCGCCCAAATGCCCCAATGGATCATTCACACGAAGTCTCCTGCTAACGAAAAAACCGGCTTAGCTGTCGATCTTGCTCATCCAAAAGCGCATTCTCAAGCTGGGCCGCCCAAGCTAATGCCTCCTTGAGGAAGGATGCCCCAAAGATTTCAACGCCCGTCAATGATTGCCCTCCGGATGTGGAAGCCCTCGGTCGCGGGACTTGGGCGTTGCTTCATTCCATAGCGGCGACATACCCTGAGAAGCCCTCGTCAATGCAGAAGGAGGACTTGCGTGGCTTCATGCGGCTGTTTTCCAAGTTGTACCCATGCTGGGTGTGTGCTGAAGATTTCCAGTCATATATGCAAAAGGAACAGGTGCGCGTTGAGGGCCGTGATGAATTTGGCAACTGGCTGTGTGAGGCACACAACGAGGTGAATCGCAAGCTGGGAAAGAAAGAATTCGACTGCAGCAAGTGGGAAGAACGTTGGCGCACGGGCTGGAAAGACGGGCGTTGTGACTAAGATTTGTCAATGGAACACGGAGCCTCAAGTGACATGAAACACATGAATGTTGCGGGACGCAGCGCAGCACACAAGATAGACATAGATAAACCTCTGTACCAATATGTAAAATACCACTCAATCGGCATTAGCGAATGGGGTATCATCTCGGGTATGGTGCGAGGGCATGATCCCAAAAGGCAGGGCCAGAGAGCAGGAACACTCCAAAGGGAAGTGAAGGGGGAAAGCCTACACCAACTCGGATGTCACCGCGGGCCCTCGGGATGCCGGAGCGAGGCAATGCGGCGTTTCAGCGGCTCTCCGAAAGCGCAACGCCATCGCCATCGCCGGGTACCGCCGGACGGCAGGTATGAGCATGAATGGTGGTGGTAAGCTAGACACGCAGAGAACTGGTCTAGATAGTCTAGGAATGCAAAATTATGGGCCTGACCTGCCCAGATCGGCCGTAGCAAGGCCGAACCCTGGTTTCCAAGAATCAGATCATGTCAAGCTTGAAGAAGCCCTTCCAGTCGATTTGATGGCGTGGCGGTCAGTCTGCACTCACGCACTGCATAGGCGGCAGGGTCATGGGCGAGATCTGCCTTGGCCCGGCCTGTCATTGGGGTCGGGGCCGCAGAGGCGCATCAAACCACAGCTGTTCCCTGCCTGACAGCTCACTTTCAAAACCCACTAGGAGCGCGCGGGCATGATCGGGGGACAAAGAGTACCAACGGCGTCGTCCTACCTAGTGTACAAGCCAGAAGCGTCCCAGGGCTCCATGTTATGTTTTTTGTTTTTTTGTTTTTTTGTTTTTTTTGCCCTCGGCGGCCGCTGATTTTGTCGGCCAAAATAGCATGCGTCTCATTCCCCGGCAGCAAGGACAGGGCGGACAACAAGGGTCAGGTCTAGAATGGCAGGGTCCCTAGGTATGGAAAGCATTCGTACAAGTCCGGCTCGGCCCCGGCTCCCGACCACCCTTGTCCGGCACCAGCCCGGTGTAATGGTGACCGCATTCTGTTGTGGCGTGTTGGATTACATCAGTATCTTCTGCAACTGATGGATTCCGCTGCCATCATCTGTCTCTGGACCCTTCGAAGCTCCCTACTAGGCTTGTTGCAAGGTACCTCGACTGTTACTCAATCTTCCAACTTCCACGCCAGTCCCATATCACGCCCTCCTATCCGAAACCCGCCAGATACCGACACCGGTTGGCCCATCGCTTCCATCATTGTCACTGGTGACTTATTCTTTCTGCAACTTTGCCCTATCTTGTAGTACACGAACATGCAGCTTCTTGGGTTTTCGCACATCGCCGATGATCTGCCCGTTTCATCAGGAAAATCTCAGTGGCCTGACTTGACCCTGGTCATTCACTCCTTGTGTTGAGCGAGCCTGCCGAAAGCGATGTTGCATACTGAGATGCGGCTACCGCGTTCCTCTTGATATAAAGCTCATAGCCTCTGTCAATATGAACCCCTTTCCTCTCCTCCAGATCCCAGAGACCTAAGAACAAGCTCAGCTTGATCATCTGCAGAGCTGCTCCGAAGACCAACTCTACTCTACTCTACCACAGACAACCAGGTCCGCCAATTATATCACTTTTGTTATTTACAGTACGACGTCCCTTTCGAGGTGATCCCGCCATGGCCGATATTCGAACTCAGGCGCTCAAAGAGCCCATTGATGTCGCTGAATACCTTTTTAAGAGACTTCACCAAGTCGGCGTCCGCTCAGTCCACGGCCTTCCTGGAGACTACAACCTTGTTGCTCTCGACTACCTCCCTGGTTCTGGCCTGACTTGGGTTGGCAGTGTCAACGAACTCAATGCTGGTAAACGGCATCGCCAAACCCATACTCATGCGCTTCGCTAACACCTACAAGGTTATGCGGCTGATGGCTATGCGCGCGTCAAGGGAATCTCTGCCATCATCACCACCTTCGGCGTCGGTGAATTATCAGCCATCAATGCCCTCGCCGGCGCATACTCCGAGCATGTCCCCGTCGTCCACATCGTCGGATGCCCCTCCACCATCTCACAGAGAAATGGAATGCTTCTGCACCACACTCTAGGCAATGGAGATTTCAACGTCTTTGCGAACATGAGCTCACAAATCTCTTGTGATGTCGCCAAGCTCAACAATCCCGCCGAGATCGCCAACCAGATTGATCATGCTCTCAAGGAATGCTGGATTCGCAGTCGTCCAGTGTACGTCATGCTGCCTACCGACATGGTCCAAAAGAAGGTTGAGGGCGAGAGACTGAGAACACCTATTGACCTCAGCGAGATCCCCAATGACCCCGCGAAGGAGGACTACGTTGTCGAAGTTGTCTTGAAGTCACTACACGCAGCCAAGAAACCAGTCATGCTCGTTGATGCCTGCGCCATTCGGCACCGTGTACTCCCTGAGGTCCATGACCTTTTGGAGAAGGCCAAAGTGCCTGTTTTTGTCACTCCGATGGGCAAGGGCGCTGTCAACGAGACACATCCCAACTACGGCGGTGTTTATGCCGGAGATGCCTCACAGCCCGATGTCAAGGAGAGAGTGGAATCTTCTGACTTGATACTTTCCATTGGCGGTCTCAAGGTAAGAACAAGGGCTACACAACGGCTTCCTTTCGGGACAACTCGCTGATCCCGCCACAGAGTGATTTCAATACAGCCGGCTTCTCCTACCGGACATCACAGCTTAACACCATCAATTTCCACAGCACGCACACAACAGTTCGATATTCGGAGTATCCTGGCGTCACCATGCGTGGTGTCTTGCGCAAGGTGATCAACAACCTCGACCCGGAAAAGCTCAGCATCGTACCCTCGCCGGATGTCTCTAACAAGCTGCCCATCGACGACAACGATCTATCCCAGACCATCACTCAAAAGTACCTATGGCCGAGAGTTGGCCATTACCTCCGCGACAACGATATCGTTGTTACCGAAACTGGCACCGCCAACTTCGGCATTTGGGACACCAAATTCCCGGCCGGTGTCACAGCTTTGAGCCAGGTCCTTTGGGGTAGTATCGGCTGGTCTGTTGGTGCTGCGCAGGGTGCTGCACTGGCCGTCAAAGACGCCGGCGAAGACAGGAGGACGATCTTGTTTGTTGGCGATGGATCATTTCAGCTCACGGCGCAAGAGATAACAACAATGTTGCGCCATGGCCTGAACCCGACAATGTAAGCTGCATCTGCGGGCCCTCCAAGATTCCTTGATACATGGCTCACTAACAAATTCCGCTTAGCTTTGTCATTTGCAATGACGGTTTCACCATTGAGCGGTTCATCCACGGCATGGAGGCCGAATACAACGACATAGTCCAGTGGCAATACAAGGAGTTGGTGACGGTATTCGGTGGAACCGAGCAGACGGCCAAGAAGTTCGTCGTCAAGACCAAGGACGAGTTGGAGAAGCTCCTGACCGATGAGAATTTCAACAACCCCACGACGCTGCAGTTTGTGGAGCTCTACGTCCCCAAGGAGGATGCTCCAAGAGCTCTTATCATGACAGCTGAGGCCAGCGCCAAGAACAACGCCAAGGTCGAGTGAAAGTTGTAGCTTGGCGGGCTTGCGGACGCGCACGATTCCGGGTCAGGGGGCCTCATTTTGGCAAAATTCGGATGGCGCAGGAACAAGAATTAGCACACATAAAGGTAGACGGCGCATAATTGGTTACTAGTTAGAGTAGATGTAGAGCTCCAATGCATGTTATTAAGCAGCAGCTCGGAGCACACGTCTGATTTACTGTCTGAATCGCCACAGGAATCAAGCATTCATGATTTTGGCGTGCTGCAGAGAGATGATCGACATCCCCTAGCCGGACTTCGTCGTCCCGTCGTCCGCCCTTCCTCGATGCGTTGATACGATGGCTGGTCAGGCGGGGATGGCTGATGTATGTACGACCGATTGCATGATGATTCCCGACCGTGCAGCCAGACTGTGAGTAATAATAGTGTTGAGGGTAAGGTACTCTGTACCTAGAGTGGGGATACCTCAGGTTGGTACCTAGGTACACTAGTGTAGGTAGGTGCCTCCTAAGCGCCGATAAGTGGGCCATATCGTCTGACTTCACAGTTCTTTTCTGGCCGCGGCACCATCCTAAATTCTCATCCAACCAGCAAAGTAGACTGCGTTTGGCCACCAAGCAAGCAGCCACGCCCCAACGGACGAAGTGTCGAGGACTCACACTTCGACGTCGTCTCACCGATAGCTGCCATGACCTCCGACGCAACGAAAAGAAAGCAACCCAGCTCCGGGTGTGAAAAGTCCCATCCTTCGAAACGAAGCAAGGCAAGTTGCAACTTGCGGGAGCAAAGAAACCCTGGCCGTGCCGACCTGAATATGAATAGGCTCTGCTCCATCCTTTGGTAACGAAGTTCTGACTGACAAATGGTAGGGCGGTCGCGGCACGGGAGCATGGCAAACTCCTCACCAAAAGGCCAAGGTCGCCAATCTCCAGGACAGAGACGCTTCACTGGAGGTGGGCGATCAGGGTGTATGGGTCACTTTCGCCCGAGGGATGGATAGTAAAGCCATCCGTGAGTTCAACTTCATTTGTGACGAATATGGCAAAACCATGTACGGACTTGCTTCACCCGGCGAGGACATCGAGTCTGGTGACGAGGACGAGGACATTGAATCATCCATCAAGAAAGAGCTTGTCGGCATGAGCTCTGTCAACCATAAAGATTCCAAACGGAACTTTAAGGCTATCCGCGCTGGTATTGAGTGTGTCTTCTTCATGAAAACACGAGACCCTGTTGAACCAGTTGAGCTGTGTCGTCGCATCTGTCGAGATGCAGGCGCTTGTCCAGATTTGAAAGAGCGCAAGACCAAGTACATCAATAGGTTGACACCTGTGAGTGCTCTGGACAAGGCCTCGGAGAATGGTGTAGTAAGGACGGCACGAAAGGCTCTCGCGCCTTGGTTCAGTTTGACAGCGAGCGAGACAGCCATAGAGAATGAAGTGGGAGTCAAGAACGATATGGCGGGAGCGGATGGAAACGAGACCGGGCCAGAAATCAAGTCGGATGCGAAGCACGCGTACACGGTCAGTTTTGCGCCCAGCCTGATAGATGACTTGACTCATTGATGGACAGTATGCAATTCGGCCCTCCATACGTAGCAACAGCTCCATCGAGCGTGACGACCTTATCAAGCAAATAGCCAGTATCATCGACCAGAGGCACAACGTCAATCTCAGCAACCCGGATAAGGTGATACTTGTTGATATCTTTCAGGTGAGGCTAATGGCAAGAGATTGAGTTACGCAGGCTGGACTGACACCGTTCATAGAGCTACTGCGGCATGAGCGTTATCAACGGCAGTGACTGGGATGGGCTCAAGAAGCTCAACATTAACGAGATGTACAAAGCGTCGCCGGGTGCAAAGGGTGCAAAGGGTGCAAAGCCCAAGTCATCACCCGTCGAAACAGAGAAAAACCCCGAGGAAAACATCGTGAGCGAGGCAGCATGAACTAGCTGGTCGAGCAGTAGGCCGGAGAGGGGGGAGGGGGGGTAGTATATTTACAGCCGCTTCAGGGCAAAAGTAAGGGTCCTATCGGTACTCGTAATGGTTCTACTCCTCACCTCCTGTGTACAGGATGCGCTGGGGCAGGCTGCGAGTAATCAAGGCATCGGACTTAGCCGAAGATATGGAATGCAGCAGCTTAGGCGAGATGGGTGGTACGAAATGCGGGTATCTCACTCGCCGTCCTCACGCCAGGACCTGCGGCGGCACCCGTCGGTGCACCCGACCTTTGGGTCCCCTCGTTTTGGAAGGTTCAAAGCTTCAATTCTGTCGTATTGGCTTGTCATGTTCATGTACGGATAAGGACACCGGTGGGTGGCACGTTGTGTAAGGAGAGCTGTTTCTGAAGAGCGGACCCCAGAGGATGAGATTACTACCTTAAGGTACCTAGGTAAAGTTGGGGTGTGCGGCTTAGTGGAGCCCCCATTGCGGCGCTAAGCCCTATTGCGATAAATTTGACGAGTCTCCAGAGCCGTCAGCACTCCCCAAGTTCTGAGGAGCTTCTACGCGGCCAAGCAAGGGACGGGGGCGGATCGGACTAGAAAGGCCGGGATTGGGCCGTATCACGGTATAGGACGCTCCTCTTTGACGAGGAGAGCCAGCCACGCCTAAAATGTCAACACGTAGTACGTCGTCTACCTCATACTAATGTCCTTAAACTTAGCTTTGCTGCAATGCATCAATTTCCAACCATGTTCGAAGACAATAGGAGAAGATGGACGAGACTCTAGCAAACAAACAACTCTAACCATTCCAAAACAGCTGGTCAAGGAGAAAGACTGAGGGAAGGACCCGACGGCAGACGAATTCAGGCGCCTGGAAGACGACGCCAGAGTCAGACCCGTAAGCGGAATCCGAACACCCCATCCTGCTCGCTTGAAAAGTGTCCAATCACCAGATTCCCGGCTCGCTTCTCGATGCACAGACTAACCAGGATCTGGGGTTGTGGTGGGTCTGATTGGGATTCCAGGCGGAGCGGATAGATCCCTTCTTCGCCAACATCCATCTCATTGACCACTCGTCTGCCTTCTGATATCCTTACAGCATCGTGTTAGTCTTCAACTTCGCCTGACGACATCAACAGAGCTTGGGGGGTTTCCCCCTCTCGCGGTTTGATCCGTCTTACTAGCTTGGTCTCTTCCCCCTTGCCCTCATCTCTCAGCGATATGGCACCGTTCCCCGCTGCGATGCGTTTTCGCTTGGGTTGACCCAAAGTAGCACCCGAGGGCAGCTATACTCTATGTTTTTGGTGATTCGTACATGACTTTCTCGCCTGCTGGCTCTTGCCTCCCAAGAAAGAGAGCAATTTCGATCCGCTTCCTTTCGCCTGGGTTAGAAACTGGATGCCCGCCTACACAGTTTGCTTGGGTCCAGGGCATCCTTAGCGTTGCGTCTCTCGCTTATCCGCAGTTCTTCTGAGTGCTGATTGAACGCCTCATGGCCCTAATGTCTGTCCTTGCGTGACGCCTCGCCCTTCACCGGGACAGTCCACTTACCCTACGCGGCTAGGTGATCATTGCTGCTCGCCTGTCCCAGCTCCTCATTAGTTGAAATGGGCACCGTGGAGGCATTTGTGCCCTCCCCAAAAGACTTATGGCTCCTTGACCACGCTTCAAGCACCATACAACATACATTTCTTTTCGTGGTCCTTATAGGCGACTACCTCACTTGGCTAGAAAAAGCTGTCGGTCCGCTGGGTTCACGCAGAGCCTTAACGACACGCCCCCAAAGAATACCATTCCGAGCAGCTGTTTCCGCCACATTCATTCTGTGACCCAGTTGTCACTTTATTCCTCGTCAAGTTGTCACTCCCCATCTTCGCAAGGGTTCTTCAACCACCTCCACTCCGGGCAGGTTCCGTATACTCCCTTCCACAGTTCTCACTTTCACAATTCTCGGTTGCGACCTGCCAGGACTGCTGACCGCTTATACACCCTGTCCCGCCATGTGCTTCGCAATCCCTCGCTAGTTTTCCGTCCAGGTGTTCGCTCATCATCTTCCCGCTCTACTCCTGTGGACGTGCTGCGCCTACTTCTCTACATCCTCCTCGCCTGGAAGCCGATGTGATTGGCAGTCTCTCTATTCGCAGGTTTCCAAAGCCATCAACTCTTGGGTTCGCGGGTGCCCCATCTCCAACCCAGTGCCAGTCTGCATAACACGCCGTGACCCCTGCCTCATCGTCTACACACTGGGGCTTGACGGCTTGCTATATCTAGGTCAATGTACCCACCCCCATCCACATGGCTCCGACACGGTATCACCAAAGCTACAGCTCACCCTCACCCTGCATACGACTCACCTTTCAGGTCATTCTCAGGAGGTGTCGCAAACCTGCAGTCTCCCGTCTGCCACCCGTAGCCCACCCATAGGGCAGACTCGTCCCAGCTTTCGGCATCAGCGGCGGCGATCCGCTAGCGACAAAGCCCATGCAAGCCGTTATAAGCCATCTGGTGCCCCAGGCCACAGTACAACAGGTCCAGCCTGTGTCTTCGGTCCATTGCCAGCGCGCCTATGGAGTCAAGATCTCCGACGGAACGAGTCTTGTCCTCGTCGCCCCTCCGCCGCCGATGGTCAAGCTCCTTCGATCGGAGCGAGCCTCCGTCGTATCGGAGGCGGCCGTCTTGAGTTGGCTTGCAAACAAGACTACTGCAAAGCCCCTCCTACAGGAACGAACCCCAGAACCCGAAGATATTCTCGACGCTGGAAAGATTGAAACCAGAGGTGCGGGGGACTTAGGAAGCAGTGCCAACTGCGCAGAAGATCTGCTTATGTTCCTTCCGAGGCTCGTAGCCCATACAAATGCACCTAGCGAAGAAGGCCACGAGTTCAATCTCTTACGGCCCACGATGGGTGTCCCGATTCCCGAACTCAGCCCGCCCCTTTCTTCGCCCGAAAGAAGATCGGTTGATTTTCAAACAGGCCAATTTTACAGGAAACTTTGCAGATTGGTCTCACCGACAGGCCGCTTCGGTCCTGCTTTCGCTGTCCTCCCACCTGCGACACCTATACCACCGTCTGACTCTGCGAAATCGATCAGAAGAGATTTACATGCCAGACTGATGGAGTCGCGGGGGGTTCAGTCTTGGTCAACAGCGTTCCACTCCATGCTAGAGGCCGTCTTACGCGATGGTGAAGATATGCAGGTCATGCTAGGGTATGGTTCCATCCGCCAGCACTTCAAACAGTTCCAGTACACACTGGAGAGTGTCAAGACACCACGTTTGGTTGCGGTAGACGCCGGCAAGGACCTCAATACTTTGGTCATGAGAAGAAAGTGTCGGAAGGGTCCTCCATCACTAGCAAGCAGCCACCACCTTGAATTGCGAGGCGAATCCCGGGTGGTTGACGACAGCGAGAGTGAAACCGACGACGATGACAGCAGCAGTGAGTTGGGGCTGGGCGGAGACAACCGAGCTACGCCGTATCAACAGAGCAACATCATCATGACCGGTATGAAGGACTGGAGCAATTTTGTATTTGGAGACCCTCTGTTTGCCGTCGATTTTTGCCATGGCCCCAGTAGCGATTTTTTGTCAGGTTTCAACGATGTTTCGCCAGACCAAGACACCACCGCCATGTCTGCATTCTCTTCGGATATGATCGAAGACAAGGCCACCGCCCATATCCGCATTCTCCTGTATGAATGCTACCACACAATCACGCACATCGCCAGGGAGTTCTTTCGGCCGCGCAGGGACAGCAGTGGGCGTGAACTGGAAGCGCGAAAGAAGTTGAACCATATCTTGGCCCAATTGGACACGCTTAGCGATGCGGGTGATCAGAGGGGAAGAAGACCAAGTGGGGAGTCGAGCCCAGCAAAGCGCTCCAAAAGCTGCGAAAAAGATGACCAGGGAGGGTGTCAATGACGTTACGAACCAGCCGTCTCTATTCGGCCGTGGCTGTTGTACATACTAGCATGACGCGTGATACAGAACTAGATGCTGTCGCGCGGCGCATAGAACGACACAGGAAACTAGGCTGTGCTCTTATTCCGACAAGTTTCGATCCGATTGTCTGCTGTTTTCACTTTTTGCTTTTGGTGTCTCCGTCGGCCTCGTCGCGCGGGAGCTGCATCCCCATCATGCCCAGGATGTTGCCAGCCGGACCTGGTAAGCCTGCCTGACCCTTGAAGCTCTCCAGCAGATTCTTGGCTAGGTTGTAGTCAATATCGATTTCTTCATCCCCAGCTTCCTTGTCGTCTTCATTGTCACTGCCATTGTGTTTGACAGCGGTACCAAGACCGTTCGCATTGACTGGATGGCTGTCTTTGCCTTTGACCGCCGGGGCTTTGCTGTTGTCAGAGACGTCTAGTCTGAGGGCCCCGTGTTCGGTAAGTTCGGCTTCCAACTGTGCGGCAAGCTCCCGCAGATCTTCGTCGCTGGGATCCTCAGGGAAACCTTCTCGATGCTTTCGCGTCCCTGCTGGCGGACTAGCTTCACCTTGGTTGTTTGGAGCTAGTCCCATCATTTCCCTCATCATTCGAGAAAACTCAGCCTCGTCAAAGCTGACTGCCTTGTCTTCCTCATCGCTGACATCCTCGCTGTCGTCGTCGTCATCGTCGTCGTCGTTAATGTCCATGTCTTCAATCTCGGCCCCGTCAAGACCTGCTCTCTCGTCGTTCAAAAAGGCCTCGAATCGTGACACGATCTTGCGCAGGTCTGCCTGTGTTGATGGGTCTCCAAAACCGGTACGGCCTTTTCCACTTTCACGGCGTCCTTGCAGTTCCTGTTCAAAGTCCTCGTAGTTGATGTCCAGCCAAGATTCATCGTCTTCTCTTTCTGAATCTTTCCAATTTTGGATATCGTAATCGGTCGGAAGGACTGATTCCCCATCCTCTTCGAGATCCGCTATAACGATACTGGCCTCTCTGGCTTCGCGGCTTTTTGTGGTGTTGATGTTATTCATCATGATCTCGAACCCGCTGGCAAGCTTCATCCCCATTTCGACATAACTCAACTCATTGCCTTGTGCTTTTTCAAGCACATCTGACCACGGTGTAGGCGGTTCAAACCGTTGAGATCGAAGTTGGGCAAACAAAACTTTGGTCAACTTTACGCTCAAGGTGACCATGTCGTGTGGAGGGAAGCGAAGATTATCTGCCTTGGACAGAAGGGCTCTCAAATCCAACGCATCACGTAGATAGAATGACTCCACGGCCGGTGCAACAGCTCTAGGAGCCTGATGGAGAACATGCGCCAGTCTTCGAGGGATCCTTACTAGAGAGTGATGCATCGACTTCCAAATCTGGCCGGGGTATTTTTCTAGCCGATAGAACGCTTCCGCCTCGATGAACTCCGAATGCACAAGAGCTTCTGAGTCTTTTCTGATGGTCTTCACAGCTTCTGCCAAAGTGAGTGGCTGTGAATCCGAGACCGTTGAACTCTGATCAAGAGGGATGATGCAAAGCCGGCCATTGTTAATCCAAACTCGATGTTGATCGTTCTCGGGACTCAGCCATTTTGGCAGTACATTTGCCGCCTCTACCAAGAGGAACTCGCCGTCGCTGTCAGAGATGCGAATCCATACCTTCGGGTCGGACTTGGATAGCTCCCTGAGGATGTAGACTATCAGCCATTCATCTTCAACGGAGTCGCCATAATCCGATGTTCCTCGCAGAAAAGCAAGTCCTGGTTGGGCTGGTTAGATTTTGACTACATAATCCTCTCTCTTTCCGTCTCTTTTATTATCCCATCTTTGAGGGTTTGGACAAACCTTGCTCGGTAGTGACCTCGAGATTTAGTGAATCTCTTTGCCATATGTAGTCACCAGCCAAGTGGGTGCCTAGCAGAAGGGCTGTTTTGCGCAACTTCTCTAGTCGCGAGAGTTGCCCCCGCGAGTCTTGGGCCTCCGAATCGATCAAAAAGATGCAATACTCGACGCGATTCTCCGACAGTCGATATTGAGTGGCGCCAAGACTGGATTGTTCATCTTGAGCATGTGCAGCCATGATAATCAGTGGTCGATCGTTGAAGTTGTAAATAGGTCGTTGAGATAAGTTGGGTTAGGTGGGTTAAGGTAATCACCATGAAGGTGGGGTGGATTCTAAGCTGCCCCCTCACACAGGTGCACTAAACTACAGTGTCTTAGGTACCTCCACGTCGCCTTAATGCAGGGACTCTGGCTTCCATTTCAGACGGCGGCCCGTATAGGGCAGGCGGCCGGTTTCCCCCAGGGCCCCCCACTTTCCCTCTTCCCGGTCTTTTCTCCATCTCCAAGCCAGGTGAATTTACTCACAGGACACCCCACCAGGCCTTTAACGCGATCGCGTCCCCCTGTATGTCGGCACGCGTCGACCCAACGTCCGAGACTGTTCACGCCATTCCACTATCACAATATCAATCATCATCGCCAGCCAGCTACGTCCGCACCCGACTTGTCATACCGCCCTCAGAGGCAAGTTTGACCCAGTCATATTCCAGTATGGCTCCTCCCAAAAGATCTCGTGCCGCTGTAGAGGCGGAGGAAGTGTTGGATGTTCGGCGGGCACGATCCTATCTTAGCCAAGACGCGTCTGTAAGCCAGCCCCAAAATTCTCGAGCATTATCGCAGCGCGGCTAATGTCTTATTTTCAACCAGTCCAAAAGAGTCCGACTATCCTACTCTACCCACGAAAAACGGGAAGACGAAAGCTCCAGTTCGGATAGCGAGGCCACTGGTAACCAAGACGAAGACGAAGACGAGAATGGACGAGGCAGACAAGATTCGCCTCCTCGCACTCAGTACGAAATTGCCCGCGACGATGGATTTAGGCATTTGCAATATGAAGACCAGGATGATCAGCGCGCCACACAGAAAATTAAGAGCCGCCCGCAACGAATCGGCGAGAACCACGCCGCCGAGAACGGCATCATAGAAAGTGTCGAGTGTTTCAACTTCATGTGCCACGAGCGTCTCTTTGTTGAGCTGGGGCCATTGATCAACTTCATCGTTGGAGAGAATGGAAGCGGAAAAAGTGCCGTGCTGACCGCTCTTACTCTCTGCCTCGGCGGCAAAGCAAGTTCAACAAATCGAGGCGGAAGCCTGAAAAGCTTCATCAAGGAAGGCCGAGACAACTCTATCATCATCGTCAGAATCAAGAACCAGGGTGTCGATGCCTATCAGCCAGAAATATATGGCGACACCATCAGAGTCGAGCGTCACTTTTCCCGGGCTGGCTCTAGCGGCTTCAAGCTCAAGAGTGTGACGGGCAAAACGATATCTACGAAGAAGGCCGATGTCGACGAAATCTCCGAATACTGGGCCTTTCAAGTCGACAACCCGCTTAATGTTCTTTCACAGGACAATGCGCGTCAGTTTTTGAACTCTTCATCCGCTTCTATGAAGTACAAATTTTTTGTCCGTGGTGTCCAACTCGAACAACTCGACAATGACTACAAGCTACTGACGGAGATCCTTGAAAGCCATGAGGCCAAACTTCCAAGTCTGGAGGAACACGTCCGACGCTCTGAGCGTGAATTCTCAGAGGCGCGCAAGCTGAGAGACATAGCCCAAAGGAACGAGGAGATGAGGAGGGAGTATCGTCGTCTTCGAAATCAGCTCTATTGGTCTCAGGTGGCAGAGCAGGAGGATATCCTTCAACAATGCGACGATCAAATCGCCTCGCTGGACGAAATTATCAATGGCGCTGAGTCATCGATTGAGCAAAAATCACAAGCCTTGTCTCAGTGCGATGAGCTGCTGGCGCATGCTCAGGCAGCACTTCATGAGAAACAGATGGAGGCTACTACGATTAATGAAGATGTCGCCGCTGCCAGAGCGGAGTTTGATGAGGCCAAGGCTCAAGTCACAGACATACATCGTCAGCTGAGAGATGTGCAGCAGCGTCACAGCAATGCAAAGGCATGGGTAAAGGACTCCGAACAGAAAATCCAAGCAGAAGAACAGCGACTGGATGCTGGTGCCGGCAGTGCCCGACAAGAACTCGAAGCACGGCTGAACGACGCCAAGTCGGATGAATCCAGCACCAGGGAGAGAATGGATCAGGGTGCCAACGCCATGCCAGAGCTTCGTGATGCGCTCAAAGCAGCTCAGTCTACTGAGAACGCGGGCAGACTAGACATAAATAAGAAGAGAGAAGAAATCTCGTCAGCTGAATCGCGCCTACAGACCCTCCAGCGAAACGGAGGATCGGCATATGCTGTCTTTGATAGAAGCATTCCTGCTCTTCTTCAAGCCATTGAACAAGACAGTGGCTTCGAAGAGAAGCCCGTTGGTCCGATCGGAGCTCACATTCAGCTCCTCAAAGCCGAGTGGGGGAGTATTCTAGATACAACTCTAGGTGCCACGCTGGATAGCTTCCTTGTGGCAAACAAGAGAGACCAGCAACGGCTGGCAAGGTTGATGCAGCGCTTCACTTGGGGCCGCACCCCGCCGATCATCATCGGCAAGCGTTTGCCTCCCAATATGAACCTGAGAGAGCCCGACGAAAGATTCGACACAGTTCTCCGCGTTCTCCGATTCGACAATGACTGGGTCCGCAGCCAGCTTATCGTGGCCCATTCCATTGACAGGATTATTCTCATAAAAGAGAGGAAAAAAGCCGAGGATGTTATGCTTAACCACTCGCCACCGCCAAACGTGCAAGTGTGTCTTGCGTTCCATGACGGTGCCAGCAAGCGCGGTCATGGACTCCGAATCCAGGCCAAAGAGACGGGCGCGAATACATCACCAATCAACGCTTACAATAGAATGCCGAGAATGAAGTCAGATAACGAGACACAGGTCAAACTTCAAGGAGAGGCATTAGCTCATCTGCGGGGCGAGCTGCGGTCTCTTGAGACAAATCAGCGACGGCTCGAGCAGGCATCGGCCAAATGCAAGGCGAATCTAACTGCCCAGGAATTAGGAAATCAGTCTTTGGAGCGGCAGCTGCGCAGGGCTCAGGCCCATATCGAGAGTGTTTCAGCGGAGCTTGATCAATACGAAGGAGCCGATGGCAGACTCGTAGGTCTCCGAGAGGAGCTGGAGAAGGCCAAAGCGGAAAAAGACCACCAAGGCACTCAGTATGGAGAGATGAAGCTTAGGCAAGAAGAACTAAACAAGAAGACGGAGGAATACAAGAGGAAGAGCGACGAGGAGAAGAGAAGACTCAAAGACTACGACGCTCAGCTGAACAAACTACAACTCGCTGTTACGAGAGCCGAAGACCTACGGAAGCTTGCCGTTATGGAGAAGAATCGCGCCTTCGAGGACCGCGATAATGCGATTGAAGACAAACGACGAGCTGAGTCGAAGCGTGACCAGCAGGCCGAAACCGTGGCCAACTTCACTCACCAAGCTATGGAGAAGGCACCGAATCGTGTGTACATCGCCGAGGGCGAAACACACAAGACCATCGAAGCCAAATACGCGACTATACACCAGCAACTGGAGAAGAGGGCTCAGAGGCTGGGTGCTTCAGACGAGGAGATCAAAGAGCGGGCAGCGAGAGCTGAAACAGCCTACGAAGCCGCGAAGCAACTCTACCAGGGCCAGTTGGAGGAGCAGGCCGCAGGAAAGCTCAACTTGGAAGACCGGTTGAACCGATGGCGTTTGTTCCAGCGTCACATCTCGGCGCGAGCACGCATTTGCTTCCAATATCTCCTCAGTGAGCGTGGATTCAGAGGCAAGCTTGCGATCGACCATCCTCAGAAGAGACTGTCGCTTTTCGTGGAGCCAGACGAGACGAAGAAAGGTACCGGTGGCAGAAGCACGAAGACACTGTCAGGCGGCGAGAAGTCTTTCTCGTCAATTTGCATGCTGCTGGCTATTTGGGAGGCCATGGGTTCGCCTCTGAGATGTCTTGACGAGTTTGACGTCTTCATGGATAACGTCAACCGCACGATCAGCACAAAGATGCTGGTAAGTCATCCATGTACGCTTGCAGACCTCATCCAATGCTAACTTGGCTTCTCATTCAGATTGAGGCGGCGCGACGCTCGGTATCTCGCCAGTACATCATGATCACGCCCAACGCCATCGAAGGACGGGCATCGCTTGATGAGGATGTGAAAGTCATTCGGTAAGTGCGATTAGCCTTGTTGAAAAAGAAAACACTAACACCAACCCTAGGTTGACCGATCCTCGACAGCGGACTTTGGTTTGATACGCCAGGGTCTTTCTTGCCTGAATGGCTACGTTTGGGGGCGTACGGTACGGACCACGGTTTGTGGCGAAGGCGGGGAGGAATGGATCTTGCGGGATCTGGCGTTGAGGCGTTGAATCAAACGGCAGTCTGTAAAATTGGGCCTCATTTTGCGTCTTGCATCGCGGCAGTTAAATAAGCTAGCTTGTCGAGGTATCCTTCTATATCATACAATCGATGTGTTTGTGAGTAGGCTTTTGTACAGTAACCCCAGCCGTGGAGTGGTTTCTTGAGAGAAATCCCCTTGTGACTGGTTCTAGATTCGGAGCCCTTTGCTCCTCAATACGTTCACACCCGCACTGGCCGTAAAACCAACCCAATGCCCTACGGAGCCAAGTATACCACCAACCTCGTGGACCTCTTTGAGTCTTCGTCGAAGGAAGTCTCTGGTGTCCCTGAAGCCAGCGGATTTGTCATTGGTCATGAAAAGCTCGGTGGAGGCATAAATCATCGACACGCTCGCGCGCTTGCTGTACCAAGAGGGGTCAACGGAAGTGTCCCCGGAGAGAAACCAGATCTCGTCAACTAGCTTAGCCAGCTCTTTGAAAGAGGTAGGAGCATGAGTTGGCTGTGCCATGATGGCCAAAGCCTGCAGCCGCATTAGCGAGCACAACCATAAAGCTGCGGGACAGGGCCGCCCACTTCTTGCCAATGTCCTACGATGACTTCGTTTCCCAGAAGCCGTTCCCATGTTATCATTTCCACCTTTTCGTCGATGCTGGCCTCTGGGACCTGGCCGAAGATTTCCTTACTCTTGGCGGCTAGGCTCTCTCGCCTCGTCACCAAGTGGTAACGTATGAGGCTGAAGGGGCCGTCAAGCAAAACGCTGGTGCTAATGTCGAGATACCCGGCATCCTTCGCGCCGAGAGCTAGAGCTTTGTGGGAGAAACCGTGCTCCGGGACATGTTCGTAGGCGGCGGAGAGAATTGTCTTTTCTTGGGTGTTGAAAGAGGCAGTCTGGTCTGGGTGGTCGTACGAATGGTAAGCTCGTTTTGTCTGTAGTCTTGTTGGGAATGCTATTTGGCAATGGCGAAATGGGCGAAAGGCCCATCTGGCAGTCGGTCGGCGTGGAAGGAGCATTTCTGTAAAGGAGATCGTGCGTTTAGTCGGGTAAGGTCTTCTTCGTGCCGACTCGTCGCAGACTCGTTCCCAATCCAGCGGTCGTAGATCAGGTGATGCCTTTTTTTTTCTTTTTTTTTTTCTTCTCGCCTTCTTCCCCGAAGCCCGTAGCGTGCTAGTCGCCTAGTAGTTGGTCTGGGCTAAGAAGAGGTCGGGTACGGAACAGCGCGGTCCTGCCTGAAGGAACCTTACCTTAGGTAAGGTCCCCCAGTAGCTTGGTGTCTGCCACGATCATGGATAAGGTACCTTAACGTAGGTAGGTAATTGATTACCTTAGGCTTGAACGTAGATACCTAAGATCGCCCCTCAAATACTCGCCTTAAGAGCTCGCTCTGTTTCGGCCATGTTGTTACACAGCGTTGAAATCCTGCCTTGTCACCTCGTGTATCACAGTCAAGAAGCTATGATTGGGCTTCATCCAGCATGGTGTGCTACGCAGACCGTTGCTCCCCAGGGTCACTGCTTACCCTGTGAAGCAGCGACGCATTCCGATCCCCCGACCTTGCGCTGCGTGGCCCGCGCCATGCGCCAGTTGCAGCCACGGCAAGCAGACTGAGATAGATCACCATAGTCACGGTCGTCCGTCCTACAGCGGGCTTACTGATGCAACACACAGCTAGATCAGCCCGGCAATAGACAGGGAGGTCTATACAGTGCACTGGACATTCGATGCAATGCTGGGCCTCTGCAACGCAGGACTCACTAGCTTGGCAGCACACTGACAAGTAACTTACTCGAACACTTCCCTGGAGGTATGTATTACGCAGTGCTTTGATCGTCCCCGAATCATCATATGATTAGTCACTGAAAAGAGTGGTTTTGAATGGGGCTTGCGAACGTTAGTACCTGGCCCGTCCACACTGCGCGGTGGTTTGCAGTCCAGCCTTTGAGCCATGTAATGGCGTATCCATGTACCTCTGTTCGCACTGCACAACGACCAAGACGGCATCAATTCGGCACGAGAAATGTCGACCTATAGTAACTATGCCTTGGCTGAGAATACGCAGACACTCCTTGTTGGTGCTTGAGCTTCTGCTCCGTATAGGCTTGTATCTTGCGTTCTTTAATGTCACGCCAGGCGAATGTCACAACATGGGACACGATCCCACGTGCATAGTTACAGTAATGTGAGGTTCATAATGAGGTACTACCCGAGGTAATGCTTGCTGTCTACATGTCGGTCTCACCAAGGTACGCGAAAGTCGCAAGACAAGCTATCGCAGACTCGGTAGAGGTCGGATTCTGTCCGCGGCCACAGAGGTGCGTACCACCTTACTCCCTCCCCACCCCACTGAAAGGACCATGGCCCTCAAGGTTCTCTCAATCACTATATTGTGGCCAAACAAGGCACTCAGGTGTTTGTGCTTTCTGTCATGTAGACCATATTCTATTCACTTATATGTATATACATGCCATGGCTCTAGCTAGACACACCTGGACAGTAGGCAAAAGTCCCAGTCCTAGTCCACAGGCCTTCAAGGTTGCGGGATCAGTCGCGCCAGGATGTGCAGGCATCGTGTGTAGGTTGGACAAATGGCTGTTATCCTCTGTTTTTTGGACAGTGATCTGTTACATGATACCACATACTTCACACTATGGAAAGATGGAAATTTACTGCCCACATCCATTCTTGGGAGGGAGAAAGACAAGAAAAGATAGTCCCTTCCCATATGCAAACCTGGCTGCGAACTTCAGAGCATCGTCTACCTACACACTCCGCATCCGCACGGCATGCACCTCACCGGCGGGCAGCAGTGCGCCAAGGTTGACGCCTCAGCAGTAACGGTATCTTACTCGTCGTCTGATGCAGCTCAAGCTCCACCTTCTGCGGTGCTCTTTCACGCATGTCCTGTCCTGCATTCACTTGGACTCCGCCGCATCGGCCGCTGATTGGCCAATGAACACGCACTATTGACGCAGCCATCTGATGTGCATTCTGGTGTCATTGCTCGTTCGCCGCGACTTCCCTGGATGTCGGCGCCACTTCTGACTGGTAAATGCCGTGGGTGCTACGGAGGAGGTATTTTATACTGAGAGCTGGAGAACGCCAAGTTGGGTACTTACTGTGTACCTTACCTGGGTGAAAGCCGAGACCAAGTCTGAATTGAAAATTGCCCTGCAAGGCCACCATGGTGAGCTTTACTCTTGAGGTCGCCGCCGATTCAAGCTAAGGACCAACGCCGCCCCTCCATCCGGGCGGATTTCCGGGCGTTTCGAAGGTAAGGTAAGGCACCTTACTGTTTGCCTCAATGCTCAAAGTTTTTGAGAGGCTGCTGCCCTTTCAGCTTACTCCGGCCGGCTCCTTTCTTAGTTTACCTGGTGCCGACAGTCGAGATATGGAGGTTCCATCCGTCAGAGTCCTAGAGCTTGAGCCCGGTAGACCCTACTGCGTAGTAGTCGCGGCTCTGATAGTACCTCACTTCCGTCAACTTAGTACTGGACCTTACTGGACTGGACCCGACCCCACCTAGCATTGGTTCCGTTCCGTTTCTCCGCCCCCGCTCACACCAGTGCCCGCAGCAGGTCCGGTTGAGGTATTCGTACCTACCTACCTACCTACCTCCCGTCCCGAGTTCCACCTCACCTTGCTCTTTGCCACGTCTATTGGATCGAAGGTGCCGTTTAGACCCAGACACACCTTCCGCCTGCTCTGGAAATTCTCTCGCCTGGCTCACCTTGCGTGCTTGCCTTACCTTGTGGATACGTCGCCGTCGCGCCTACCTATCTCAGCTCCCTGTCTTGCCTTAACTTACCTAAGGTGGCTGGCTGCCTGGTTCGCCTGGCCCGGCCCTGACCCCAGCCTGCTTTCTTGCCGCCTGCGTCTGCGCCTGCATCTGCGCCTGCGTTTGTGTTCGTTCCTCCCGCTCCTGTTCTTTTTCCCTTCCGCCTTATCTGTCCATACACCACCGCAACGCGCACACACGCGTCACATTACTTTGTATCGCATCGCATCGCATCACAACAGCACAACAGCGAAGCACCATCCGCCGCGCCACCAGCACCGTCCACATCAAGACGTCGTTGTACTGGTGTTCAGCGACCGCTCTATCTCTTTTCTCCCGTCCTCCTTCGTCAGGTCTACAGACGCGAGTCGTAGGGAGCCATGGGTAAGTCAATCTCTTTTTCTCATCCTCTTCCGTTCGCTATTCCATCATTTCGTTTCCAGAGCGGGTGGCTCAATTGCATTGCCTTGCTACTCCCGTCCATCTGGTTGGCCTTGGGGCTGTCATACCCGGCTTGTCCTTGTCTGTTTCCTCGTCGTTCTCCCGCGCATCCTCTCGTCCTCCACAGTACACCGTTACCGCCCCGTCTCTCATCGCTTTGCCTCGCCTTGCCTAGCCTGCCATTGCCTTACTTTGGTTTGGGGTCGGATGCGGTTCATTGGCTTGCTTGCTTGCTTGCTTCCGCCCAGCTCACAAACATGGTTGGTTGTTGCCTCGCGCGAAGGAATTGAAATCGGCATTTTGACTTGGTGTCGTGGATCTTGAAGAGCAAGCAACTTGCTTGATCTCCCAGCCTCACCACAAGCTGTGCCACTGGCTCTCGTTGCCCTCTTTCCTCAGTACCTGACCCCAAACCCTGCTTGACGCCGCGTTTCGCGCATCCCACAACGCCCAACGAGCTCAAGTCCAAACTTGAGCCAGAGCCAGGGGCCTGCTCACACGGCGGATGTGGCCACCAGCTCCTCCCTATCATCCATCTATATTGGAGTTCCCTTTCACCAAGCATCCATCTATCTACGAATTCATCCATATCATGCTGGCATTCATGCATGGACGAGCTACAAACTAAGATCCTTACCTGCGTGTACTCGCACCTGAGCTTGTCACTTCCGCCCCAGAAACCCCCCAATCATTCTCTTTCAACTTGGCCCGTCATTCTCTCTGTCCGTCTGTCTCTGTCTCTATCCAACCCCTCCTGCTCCCTTGTCCTGTCCTTCCCTTCCCTCATCCCCCCCTCCTCATCCCCCCTCTCCACCCTCCGTCGTGCCTCTGTGGCTGCTGTTGCTCCTCCACCACTCCAAAGAGGTACCGATGTACGTACATCCGTACCTGGCCTGCCGATTCCTCTCCCTCCCCCGCCTGCCCGTCCCTCCCTTTCCTTACGACTTCGTGAGCAAGGAAGGTACCTCCCCGTACCTTACCGGTTGTCGTGCCTTTGGTAGCTGCATGTTCTTCTGCCCCTTCTCCACTGCACTCTCCTCGTTCTGGGCTGTACCCGTTCCCGTATCCAGACCCGTACCGTGCCTCTACGCCCCCCCCCCCCTCGTCTTGCCGTATGCCTGCCCACGTCCGCCCTTCCCAGCTATCCAAATATCGACCGCTGGTGCCCTTTCTCCGTCGTTCCTGCTTCTTTGCTCGTGTTCTCTTGCTTTCTTCTCGCAGGCACTCTTTTCTTAAAACTCCCTGGTTTCGGCCTTCCGACTAACCCTACCTTTTCGTAGCTGACTCCGGCGACACTTATCGACCCGTAAGTCTCTCTTCTAACGTTTGGCAACATCTTCGAGCCGGCCGACCTTTTGAAGCCCCCCCCCCAGGCCCATTGTCTTTCTGCTGTCAACGTACCTCCGAGCCTGCTCGAACTCGCGCCCATATTGCTCAGTTTCACTTGCCCAAAATCACCTGCTCATCTACCTGCCTGCCCACCTGCTCTACCTCGCGCTTGGCTGTTTTACCCCTCGGCGCTTCTGCCAAAGCCTACCTCCGCTTCTGGTTTGCGGTTCTTTCCTACAGCATGAACCGATGCGTACAGAGACGACGAGATGGAGCTTTGAAGGTTGACTTTGGCTACGGCGGTGCAGGAGCTCTCGATGCACCTTCCAACTCTACCTTGTCGTCTAAACCCACTCGCCCCATCCATTCCTTCGTTCTGAGCCACCTCTGGCGCCTCCCTTCCTCACCCTATCTCACTTTCCATATCCCGCCACGTTTCTGTTACCGAAGCATCTCCCCTCCCCATTTCCTTCATCCAGTTCTGCCTGTCCAAGCATCACGCTGCTATCGACACGCTGTACTAGATGGCGGCACATAGCGCTAACACTCGCCAGCGGGAGCGATCTCGATCCCCTCGACGCGGACGTTCACGCAGCCCCAATCGCGCCTCAAGACGTCGCTCATTTTCCCCGCGGAGTCGATCCCGCAGTAGAGACGAGTACCGTGGAAGAAGAGATCGGTCACCCATGACTGGCACCGGAGTCCCGTCTGGAGGATCTAGCACTGGGTACGGAGGGGCGCCTCAACATCGATCCTACGAGGAGCGCGCAGCTGCTAGAGAGCAAATGATGAGCAACATTAGGGAGACTTCGCAACAGGACCGACGCGTCTACGTCGGCAATCTTTCCTACGATGTCAAATGGCATCACCTCAAGGACTTCATGCGACAAGGTGAGCACCCTCCCCTCCCATCTGTTTCTGCACCAACAAGACACTGTGTTTCTTCAAAGATGTGACTGTGGTCTTGTGTTGCTCGTTGAACTGGACTAACTGCCTTTCCTAGCCGGAGAAGTTCTCTTCGCCGACGTGCTATTACTTCCAAACGGAATGTCGAAGGTGGGCGTCTACACGTAGTCTATGGCTGGTTTTCTTTTGTGGTCTCTTCCCTCTGGTTATTGATGGAATTGTTGGATTGACGGGTCGGGACGTGTGTCCACGGGTCTATGTAGGGATGCGGGTAAGCTCGTTCATAAATTATCTCTGCGGGCTCGCGACGCTGACAAAACATGCAGAATTGTGGAATATGCGACGAGGGAGCAAGCCCAGAACGCTGTGGCAACGCTCAGTAACCAGAACCTCATGGGCAGACTTGTCTATGTTCGAGAAGTAAGTCATGACTGGTAGCACTGCTATTGACGAAGCGAAATCCGGGCTGACCAAAAAACTGCAGGATCGCGAGGCTGAGCCTCGCTTCATCGGCGCCACAGCTAACCGCGGCGGTTTTGGCGGAGGCGGTATGAACCCTGGCGGTTTCGGCGGCGGCGGTGGCGGTGGCGGTGGCGGCTACAACGCTGGTGGTAGCCGACAGATTTACGTGGCCAACGTTTGTTCCCATTCCGATCCAGGCTCGGAATGTCGCCATTTGTCAACTAACGAATATCACAGCTCCCCTACACTGTTGGCTGGCAAGACCTCAAGGACCTCTTCAGACAAGCTGGTGAGTTCGTGATTACAACGCAGCCTTGCTCCCATTACTCATGGTCATTAACTTACACTTTGAAAAAAGCTCGTAACGGAGTCGTCATTCGTGCCGATGTTCATCTTGGGCCTGATGGCCGTCCAAAGGGATCAGGGATAGTAGTATTCGAGAACCCTGACGATGCCCGCACTGCTATCCAGCAGTTCAATGGCTATGACTGGCAGGGTCGTCTTCTCGAAGTTCGTGAGGACAGGTTCGCCGGTGCGGGTGGCCCCATGGGTTTTGGCGGTCGTGGCGGTTTCGGCGGTATGCGCGGCGGTTTCGGTGGTGCTTACGGCCGCGGTGGATTCGGTGGCCGTGGCGGCTTCGGCGGCGGCGGCGGCGGCTATGGCCGTGGCGGCTTCTCAGGAGGAGGCGGTGGTGGTGGAGGGGGCTTCGATGCCGGCAACGCAACTTCCGTCCCTCCCAACCCATTTACCGACTTCGCTACTGCCGGAACCGATCGCGGCGAGACGATCTATGTCCGCAACGTGAGTTGACGAATCGTTGTGAATTCGTTGAGATGTCGGTGCTAATAGTTGACAGTTGCCTTGGTCCACCAGCAACGAGGATCTCGTAGAGCTATTCACTACTATCGGAAAGGTTGAACAGGCCGAGATCCAGTACGAGCCCAGCGGGCGCTCGCGTGGTACTGGCGTTGTGCGGTTTGACTCTGCAGACACTGCAGAAACCGCGATTGCCAAATTCCAGGGTTATCAGTACGGTGGCCGTCCTTTGGGCCTGAGCTTCGTCCGCTATCTCAATGCGGCTGGTGGCGGAGATAGCATGGAGACTGACGCGCATGCTGGGTTGACGCAAGACCAGATCATGTAACTTGCCGAATAAGTTCGACACAATTTCGTGTCTAGGTTCGCGATATCGGTCGATAGACCACCCAAAACGGCACATTTCTATACCACACTGCCGGCAAATTGTTCTTGTACCCACTCTCAATCGCAGTCTGCACATTCATATTAAATTGTTTTTTCACTTGCGCTGCGACGAAAAAAAAAATCGTCATTCCGATCCATCAGGTTTTCCATGGGGGCTGGGCTTTGGTGTGCATGGCTGGTCGAGCATTGAAGGTGTCGGTCGTATTCTACACGACATCTCATATAATGTGGTTCGTTAGCTAGGATGGGTCTCTCGGACTACATGGATGTCAGTCCAGCTGCTTTGGTGTGCTGGCCCAACTTCGTCTTGATACTAATTACGGACGTTCGTGGGAGTCTAGTTCTGCAGAGGCCGAGGCTTTCCCACCAAAAAGCAGATAGCCTGTTCAGGGCCCCTTACCTGCAATTTACTTCGAATAGCACATAAACTATGCATGTGACGATGGTTGTTTGAGATCACCAGGTAGAGGGCGATAATGTTCAGCCGGTGATTGCTTCAGATATTGCAACACAGGCAGGGGACGATAACGTCCCATCAGCAATCGTTGACTCTGGGTCAACCTCGTTTGTAGCAATCCGCTGCTCAAGTTGTCAGGGGCCGTAAGACGATACTCAATGCACAAGCTGAATTGAGATGTGCTCGGTTCTCGGGAACCCTCTTGTTTGAAGATTACCCGCAGCAATAGATTTACACCAGCCTTCCGGGTCGTCGTCACACTGTGGATGTTTTCCTTCTAGATCATTCCTGTCGGTCAGTTTCCTGCAGTTTGCTACCCAAGAGACTACTTGACGCACCTCTAGTCATCACTCGGTGCGTCACATCCACAGGAACGCCGGCTGGCTGGTTGCATATTCATTCCATCGGCACTTCCGATCAGCTTCACGGCCTTCTTGCAGCAAGGGAGTGTGCTAACCGCGATTCTCGTTTCGCCAGCCTGCCCACGACTCAATCTCACATATAAGCCCGACATTGCCACAATGCAAGAGGTTAAGCTTTTGCATGATATCCACAGCATTGGACCTATCAGTATTGCGTACCCAAAAACAAAGAGCAAATGTGCGAGCTTCATCTACACAAATGCCCAACCTGTGGCGCGAGATGGGTGAGCCGCAAGAAACTAGCAAGTTGTGAAAGCAGCGACCCAACATCCCGATGTCCAGAGAGCTTGTGTATGTATGTAGGAAATCCAAAAAGGCCAGGGCGAAGTGAGTGCGGAGCATGTACACGAGTCAGGGAGGCACTGGAAGCATTTGATGATGACGCTTATTTCTGCTCTGGATATGGAGCATTGCCCGGTGACTACAGCACTTGTTCATCAGGCAAATAGCGCTGTGGGGCATGAAGACGCGGAGTTGGACTCGTAGGATCTGCCATCTGCTTTACACAAGAATATGGCCTTCCGGTTCGTTCCCAACATCTGGCCGAACACGCGGGGGCTATCTGCGTCTGGATGTATATCTGCATGGTAGCAATCCCGGGATGAATACCCTTCAGTAAATGGTCTGTAAAACATGCTCGCTTACATCCCATCGTCAGCTGGAGAATTGCAGCCAAAAAAAGAAAAGAAAACCAAGGCCGTCAGAACAGTGAGAGGGATTCGGGTTCGCAGTCAGTCCTGTCCGGTCTGACCTTCCTCCATTTTCTTCCTGATCGTCTCCAGCTCGATTTTCACCCGATGGCTATGTTGCGCAAACAGTTCGTGGGGCTCCTTGCCCGGGCTATTGAATGTTGCTCTAAAGTCGTACGTGATTCATTAGGACGCAGTAACTGTTGGCGCTCCTCCCTTCTTTCTTCGGGCCTTTGCCTTCTTCTTGCTTCTGTCCCTGGGCTTGAGAGCAGTCATCCCGCTCTTGCACAGGTCGGCATATCGAGCGTAGAAGGCGTCCAAGGCATCAACCTCCACAACAGTCGACAATTTAATCTTTGCATCTCGGTGTATTTTGGATTTGCCGTTGGAGGCGCGGACAAGCACGGGTAAGGGTTTCGTTGGGTTTAAGTCCGGAAACGGATCGGTATCTGTCGCAGCGGGAACATCTTGTCCGTAGGAGACTAAGGACGCCGATGTTAGTGCAATTGTACTCTCCTGTCCCGGGCTCATTTGCATACGTCGCTTCTGAACGAGGAAGATGGAGCCATGGCCTTTGCTCTTGCGCTGCTCGAAAAGGTCGGCTAGCTTGTCGAAGAACTAACTCGGTCAGCTCAGCCTGCGCGTGATGCGGGTGAAGACAAGTTATGAAAAAGAAGAAGACGAAGAAAAAAAAAAGAAGCCGAGACACATACTTCGTCGTGGCTCAAATGACGAGCCATGATCCAGTCTGCAGGCCGCTTGTTGGATGTTGCGTTCTCATCAACCTTGGGTCCGCAAGAAAGAGAGACGTCGTTGAGCATATCAAATGCCCCGCCAAATTGATCTGGTCAAGGACCCCGTGCGCCCAGCCCTGGATTTGCGCCTTGATACCTGGGGCTAGGTGCTTTAAGGTTAGCGCTGGCCGCATCCCTGTCATTCCTTTGCAGTGTTCACGTCGCCAGTCTCCACCGGGTCCGTGCTCCATAGAAAAGTTCCAACAGGCGACGCTTCATGAAGACTTTGAAAAGAAAGTCAGAATTATCACATATCTTTTCGCTTTTCCTGCCGCCTCTACCTTTGCACTCGATCTTGGCGTCCCTCGTCGTCTTACTTAAGGGACCCAATCTGGTGATTGGCCTCAATCCTGTAAACCCTCCCCGACAATGCCTCCCAAGCAGCTTTCTTTGCCGCCGAAGCTCCTCCAAGAGATTGGGGCTCCGGGCGGGCCCAGTGCCTCTCGATCTCGCGGGCGGTGGAAAAGCCAAGATCAGAACAGGAAGGACCGTCGCAAATCTGAAAGACAGTCCAAGAAGCAGCGCCAATCCCTATTTTTACAGGATTCGCATTTAACCAAACGCCACCATGCACGGGGGCCAGATAATGAGGATGACGATGACGATGACGACGCTGGTGGTTTGAACGACACAGACCGTCGCGCCGACAGCCACCTACAGATGATAGAACCGCGCGCCTCGCCGCTGTCTGCCTCCAAGAAGCGCAAGAGGAGCTTTCCCGAGTATGCCGACGATGTCAAGGGCGAACAGCCCGCCATGAAACAACCGTCGCGTGCCGTTCGTGACCGGCTAGCCCAAGACAATGCTGAGATTGAGCAACTTGAACGAAAGTTGGGTCTTAGAAAGGGTCGGAAATCACTGCCCCAGGCCTTTAAAGATGACGGGTTGGTGGACCTGCTTGGCGATTTAAGCAACGGCAGCGGCGAGGACGAGGAAGCGAAGCAGACCAGTGAATACAAGCAATGGCTTGCGCAAAAGCGGAGGAACGCGAACCGATCTCGAAACGATGCGGCATATGCTGCAGAAAGCGGTGAAGATGACAGAGTCTTCGACCAAGGCGACGAGCCATCGGAGGACGATGATTTGAGCGATTCAGCAGAGGAGAGTGACGAGGATATTAATGATGACGATGCGGAAGGCGTCAACGATGACGACTTGGGTGACCAGCAATCTTTTGTTGGTTTCGGTTCGGATTCGGAGGAGATGCCAACAGCTCCTAGACGGGTCAGGGAAAATCCATATTTGCCACCAGTCGCTGCTGGCACACAGTCCTCAAAGTACATACCGCCATCAATGCGAGCCAGAGTGGGAGGCGACACCAACCTCGAGGCCCAGATTCGCAGAAAGTTGCAGGGTCCCGTCAACAGAGTTGCAGAAGCAAACTTGGTATCGATTGTCGGTGAGATTGAGAAAGTCTACCGTGATTATCCGAGAGGCCATACGAACAGCATTTTGACGGAACTACTGATGGCTCAGATTTGCGACCCCACAAGCAAACCCGACACCGTTTTAGTTCTGTCCGCTGGTTTTGTCGCTGCTCTTTATAAGGTCATCGGCATTGACTTTGCGGCACACTTTCTGACGACATCGGTGGAGCGGTTTCAACAAGAGAGGAAGAAGGCGACGACCGCCGCTAGCCAGCAACAGGTTCCCACAAAAGAGACATCCAATTTGATTACAGTCCTCGCGGAGACGTACATTTTTCGCGTGATTGGCAGCAATCTTATGTTCGACATTGTGCGGCTTCTACTGGGCGACCTCTCAGAGCTTAACGCCGAGCTCTTGCTCCGGGTCGTTCGCGTAGCTGGGCCCCAATTGCGAAAAGATGACCCGTTGGCCCTCAAAGACATTGTCAGCCTGATGCGTCCTGCAGTCGCTAAGATTGGGGAGAGTAACGTCACGGTCCGGACGAAATTCATGATCGAGACTATCAGCGACCTCAAGAACAACAAACTGAAGGCCGGCACACAGGACTTGGTCATTCTCAACGACCATGTCACACGCATGAAAAAGGTTCTGGGTTCACTTGATACTCAAAAGCTGAAGGCCACGGAACCATTACGAATTGGCTTACGGGATATTGAAAATGCGGATAAGACCGGCAAATGGTGGCTTGTGGGAGCCAGCTGGGCTGGCGTAGGACCTTCAGAGGCGGACGTCCAGAATACTCGAGGTTTCACGAAGAATACGGACGACGGCCATGACTTTACTGACGAGGGTGACGATCTTGTGGTCGCCGATGCCGACGATCTCATAACCCTCGACTATGCACAGCTTGCACGAGAGCAAGGCATGAATACGGATGTTCGGCGCGCGATTTTCGTTGCCCTCGTTGCGGCAGCTGACTATCAGGACGCATACATGCGCATTCTGAAGCTCAAACTCAACAAGTACAATAAACGCGAGGTGCCGAATGTGCTCACCCAATGCTCTGGAGCGCAGCAGCACTACAACCCTTACTACACCCTTGTAGCTAAGAAGTTCTGTGGTGACTCGCGCATCAAGTACGCGTTCCAAGACACAATATGGACCCTTTTTCGACGGCTCGGCGAGCCGTTATTCGGGCAGGAACCAGAGGA